AAGTGTGCTTTAGCTGTGGTTGTAACTGCTCAAAAGTTAAGACCTTATTTCTTGAATCATAAGGTGAAGGTGCGAACGAATATGCCGCTAGGAGAAACACTTGGTCGGCCACCAGTCTCTGGTCGATTGGTGAAGTGGGCGGTCGAATTGAGTGAATATTTTTTGATGTACGAGCCAAGGAGAGCCATAAAGTCACAGGTGTTGGCTGATTTTATCCAAGAAGGCACAAAAGTCGAGGAGGAGTCAGAGGAATTATGGCAGTTGTTTGTGGATGGATCTGTGGCCCGAAGCGGGGCAGGATTGGGAATTGTCCTTGTTCTCCCAAAGGCGATTACTTGGAGTTTGTGGCCAAAGTGGGATTCAAGATATCCAATAACGAAGCTGAGTACGATGCAGTGATTAAGGGCTTGAGTCTAGCCAAAGCAGGAGGAGCTCGAAAATTGCAAGTGCATTCTGATTCTCAACTGGTGGTCGGGCAGTTTCAAGAAGGGTTTGAAGTCAAGGAGGATCGGATGCAGAAATATGTGGATGAGATGAAGAAGCTGAGAGAAGAGTTTGATTCTTTCGAACTAATACAAATTCCTCGAGGAGAAAATGGTCGAGCAGACCTATTGTCGAAGATTGCTCAGAGCTTGGTTGATTGAAAGAGCAGAAGTGTCACTCTGTTGCATCTTGAAAAGAGTGTGATCGAAGCAGAAGTGGCGGAGATCGAAGAGGTGGAGGATTGGAGGGCCCCGATCTTGGAGGAGCTGAGGGGAGGAGCAATAAAGGTGGTCAGGTGGTTTTTTGAGCATGAAGGCATTCTTTACAAACGATCATATGGAGGACCACACTTGCGTTGTGTTACTAAGGAGGAAGGTCGATACGTGCTAAGAGAGATGCACGAAGGGTGTTGCAGTGACCATAGTAAGTCCGGGGCCTTGGTCGCAAAAATTTTGAGGGCAGGATATTTTTGGCCAACGATGAGAGAAGATGCGAAGACGATGGTCAAGAAGTGCTTGCTTGCAATGCCAAAAGCACGGCCCCCTTATTCACCAACTGGCCGAAGCCATGACAATGATGAGTGCTCCTATACCATTCGCCCAATTGGGTATCGACCTGGTGGGGCCGATGCCTCAGGGCACCGGGCAAAGGAAATTCTTAATAGTGGCGGTTGATTATTTCACGAAGTGGGTGGAGGCCGAGCCCTTGGAAAAGATTACAGAAGAGAAAGTAATTAAATTCATATACAATAACATTTGCTGCCATTTTGGTGTGCCCAAAGTGTTGATTTCCGATAACGGCACTCAGTTCAATGGGAAGCGAATTCGAGCATGGTGTGAAAATATGAAAATCGAGCAACACTTTGCTTATGTGGACCATCCACAAGCTAACGGCCAGGTCGAGGTAACCAATCGAATTATACTGAATGGGATGAAGACAAAGTTGGAGAAAGCCTCGAGAGCATGGGTCGATGAGCTGAGTTCCGTACTCTGGGCGTATCGCACATATTCAAGGTCGACCACAGGAGAAACCCCGTTCAGTTTAGCTTATGGGATGGAGGCGTTGCTACCGGTCGAGATTGAGTTATCTTCCCAGAGGTCGAGCACGTATAATGCTGAGCAGAACGAGGATCTGATGATGGTGGCCTTAGATACTATCGAGGAGCTGCGGGGGAGAGCGGCAGTCAGGGTAGAAGAATACAAGCAGAGGATGCGAGTCGCCCACGACAAAAGTGTGAAAATTCGCAAGCTCCAAGTGGGAGACCTGGTCTGGAAGCGTGTCGACGTGCTCAAACATGTGGAGAAGCTGGAGCCGAACTGGAAAGGACCATACTTAGTCGAGCGAGTGCACGCAGGAGGAGCGTACGCGCTGAAAGATGCTGAAGGTCGATCACTCGCCAGGTCATGGAACATAGCTAGTTTGAAAAAATATTATGTGTGAAAACTTTTATTTCTTCTGAAAAAGAAAGCTGAGAAATTCAAATGGAAATGTAAATTGCAAAGTTTGCTCACAAGACAATGAAGTTTAATGATTTTTCTGATTCTATTCGCTTTATTGTACATCTTCTTATGCTTGGAATGTTGGTATGATTTGAATGACAGAATATGTATGGTATGGTTTGACTTGAGAATCGCTTGTTTAGAACATTCCTTGGGGTGGGCAGGTTGGTCGAAAGATCTCCTGTTTAGAACATTCCTCGAGATGGGCAAGTGTGAAGACCAAACTCCACCAGGAATAAGGCCTTCGGGTTGGGTGGTCGCTTGTTTAGAACATTCCTTGGGGTGGGCAGGTTGGTCGAAAGATCTCCTGTTTAGAACATTCCTCGGGGTGGGAAAGTGTGAAGACCAAAATCCACCAGGAATAAGGCCCTCAGGCTGGGTGGTCGCTTGTTTAGAACATTCCTTCGGGTGGGCAGGTTGGTCGAAAGATCTCATGTTTAGAACATTCCTCGGGGTGGGCAAGTGTGAAGACCAAAATCCACCAGGAATAAGGCCCTCGGGCTGCGTGGTCGCTTGTTTAGAACATTCCTTGGGGTGGGCAGGTTGGTCGAAAGATCTCCTGTTTAGAACATTCCTCGGGGTGGGCAAGTGTGAA